AGGACAAAACCTTTCCTTGATGTTAGTAATGTAAAAGTTAAAAGGTACAATGTGATATTAACATAAACTCCCATAAAGTATGAAATAACAATCTAGTTTTCAACTAAGACTTAACACTGGTGGTTCCTCTTCTCAAACAGTGCTGCTTCTATTATACTGCAGCACCACCAAGCAGCAGAATGTCATACTGCAACTCCAGAACTAGTTGAGTATCATCACTCAAAAGATGGCAACTGCTATGGACTGAACTGTGTCCCTCCAAAATTCCTATGTTGAAGTCCTAACTCCCCATGTAACCGTGTTTAGAGATTTGGCCTGTGAGGAGGGGATAAAGGTTAAAAGAGGTCATAAGGGTGGGATTAATAGGGCTAATGCTCTTACAAGAAAAGGAAGAGAAACTAGTGTGCTCACTCTCTGCACTCACGCAGGCAGCCAGGAGGCACCACATGAGCACAGTGCAAAGGCTGCCACCCGCAAGCCAGAATGAGAGCTCTCACCAGGAATCCAATCAGCAGGCACTTGCTCTTTGCCTTCCCAGCCTCCAGAAGATGAGAAATAAACTTCTGTTCTTTAAGCCACCCAGTCTGTGGCATTTTGTTATGGTAACCCGAATAGACTAATACAGCAAGCAATACTCTACCTTAATACCAAAACTTTTCTCTTTGTGACAAAGGTAGTCATTTAAATATCAAGACTAAAAGTCAAAAGACTTGCCTTTAAAAATTCTAATCCAAAATTTATATAAACTAAAGCCAAGCTTTTTTTTGACAAGGTCCTTTATTAAGTTAAAAGAGGATGTTACTTTGTTCAGAAAAGTTAGAAGTTAGGATCAATCCTTATTATCAAAGGGAAAAAAAATTTCCCTGAACTGAAAGAACTATGGTTCTTAAGAGCAAGATAAAAAACTTAAAAAAAATTTCATACTGATCCAAATCAGAAATGTACATTTTATTAGAACACAGATACGCTTAGAAATCACAAATTCCTTCCACCTTCATCTGGGTCTGCTTAGAAATGCTCACCTTTCTAACAAATATTCCTTGACTGCCTAAATTGTAGTAGTCACACTGACCCCAGAGCCCAACTCCAGGGTTTTACGTGCTTGTTCTGTTGCTTACTATGTGATATTGTACATGGTCACGAACTGCTCTGTTTCAGCTCTTTACCTATAAAATGGAAACAGTCTGCCATAATGGTGTGGGGGATCCCTCCCCACCAAGACTCTCTTTAGATCCTGTCATCCACAATCCATTCTACGACTGCCCCAGTCCTAAGAATAAACTTTATTTGTTACAAATTTTGGTAATTTAGTCATTACTGAAATTAACACCACATGAACAGGATAACCTTTTCTGTTAGTATCCCACAGCAGAAGACAAATAAAATAAACAAAGTGAAAAGTGGGTGTCTCAGTTCACAGTTAACTGCCTCCCTCTCTTAACCCAAATATCCTACTTCTGCATCATCCTGACTCAGAGACAGCGTTCTAGATAGAGGTGATAGATCCCTAGGGTCCGGGTACTTCAGTTTTGCAAGTGTAGGTATTTAGTTTCCTCTAAGCTCCCCCAAGAAGATCCAATTACAGAAACAACTAATCTCATTCCAATTAGCCTAAATTTGTTATTCCAATTAATACAATGTTTTTTTTTTTTTTCTTAACCTGGACAACTCTCTCAGCCATAGGATAAGTCTAACTCCATGTACAGGACTACAGATCGATTCCTGTAAATAGAATGCTATCTATGGTTCTTATTTTGTCCTTCTTTTAGAAGATAACTACAAAGTATAAGGACATAAAAGGGAAGACTTTACAACTATTCCATTTCATCTCCTGCCATCATGAGAAGGTAGGATTCTTAGGAAAAGACAATATGCTAGGAAAAGAAGGGCAGGAAAACTGGAAGACCAAACATGAGATGGACTGACTCTGTAAGAGAAGCCATATGCCTGAGTCTACAGGAGCTAAGCAGAGCTGTTGAGGACAGGACATTGTGGACATCACTCATTCAAAGGGTCACCAGGAGTCACAGCCAACTGAAAAAGCACATTAACACACACACACACATCTGCAGAAGCAACAGGAAAAGCTCTTAAAGAATGTGGCAATTCCTCGCCTGCTCCCTTAACAGCTTTCAATTTTAAGGGTGTGCATAAACTTCCACTGACTTGTATATAATGGCTTTGCCTACAAGCTGTTGCAAATACTTACTTAAATAAGCTGTTCTATATTGAATTTAAAATGCAGCATTTTTAATTATCACATTCTACTCCAAAGTAACTAACCACTAACAATTTTTATATGATAATCAATAGTGGTTTATAAAAAACTTAACTATTATCTCTCAGTAATTACACCCAAACTTAACCAAGATGTGAATGTTGCTGTAGGAAAATACTGATTCAAAAATATGATAAATGATAAGGAATTGATAAATAAAAACAAAGTCCATGATCTATCACAAAGTACTATATAATCAATGCCAAACAAATGATAAAGACAATAACTGCTATTATATTTCAGAGATTACTGTGGCACAGGCCTCACTGGTTTAAGATTTAAAAATAGTTTTAACTAGAAATAAACTTTAGAAATTATCCACTCTAAACCTCATCTCACAAAATGAGAAACTCAAGCCCTGTGTACAGAGTTAGTTGGTGACAGTCCTTCAGAAAAAAAGGATAAATTGAGCTGGGTCTAGAAGGGGACCTACATAGGATTTGAAAAGTTAGGAACAAGATAGAACTTTCCAAGTAGGGAAATAACACGAGCAAAAGTTTAAAGGCTGAGACGAACCAGTCAAATTCAAGAGACAAGGAATAAATCCTTTTGACTGCACATAAAGATAAACATAGGAAGACTAAGTTTTGTGTTGAGGTAACTGGAGAAGTTTCGATACTTAAATAATTAAACTTCATCCTATTGGTAGTGGGTAGCTAGAGTGGTATTGAGCAACAAAGGTCAATTTCTTAGAAAAGCTAAAATTGTGCCTTGTATGGAAGCCAGGAGTACAGACATAAAACAAGGGTTGAAATAACCAAAATGTTTCAACAACTGCAAATCTAATTCTAAAACGAAAAGTGGAGAAGATATCTTCCTCTCTCCCCTAGACAAAAGAAATAGAGACAATACAATGAAAAGTAGACAATAAACAAAAATAAAAACAAATAAGGAAAGATAAATGAGAAACAGATGTGAACAAAAGAAGTAACAGTTATGCCCTGGTCAGTGTGGCTCAGTTGGTTGAAGCATCATCCTGTAAATGGAAAGGCAGCGGGTTTGATTCCCAGTCAGGGCACATGGCTGGGGTTGCAGGTTCAGTCCCCAGCCATGGCGTATTTTGACAGGCAACCAGTTGCTGTTTTAATTGATGTTTCTCTCTCATGCGATGTTTCTCACCCTCCCAACCTCTCTATCTAAATTCAATTAAGCATGAGCTCGGGTGAGGATTTAAAAAAAATAGCAGCAGCAAGAGTTATAACTCACCTCTCTAGCAGCACAATCATGAGGAGCTTCTTCTTTATTTACTTTTCCTTTTGGAAATCCCCACCCTGATTTTGCTAGGTACCCCTGAACCAGTAGTACCTACAAAACAAGCAGAGATCAAAATAAAACTTGTCTTGCTTTCCCATGCTCCTTTCTAAAAGTCAAAGGTGTTTTCTCTCCTTATTTCAGGTAACTGTTATCACCAATAATTTAATATAGTACTTGGTTTAATTATCTTCCATGAGTCTGAATATACTACTAGTGTAAAGAAAGACATTCTGCCCATTTTTAAGTATTTCTTCAAAAATGAAGGGGCACTTCCTTGCAAAAAGCCTTACTGTAACAAGTATAAAATATTAAGATACAGAATGCAGACAAAACTTGCAAAATTTGGCCTTTTAGCACTAAAAATCTAGTATATTTTAAAACTTCAATTTAGAACATTTATGGAAATAACACATCTGGTCATCATTTTACTAAAAACATTTCATTTTATTACACTCACATTTTCAAGTGTCTCATCAAGAATAATTGCACCATATGTTGGTACTCCCATTTTATACTCCTTCCATTCATCCAAAACTTTTTCCACATCTTCACCTTGAGGCAGCAAAAATGGGCAATGACTGAAGAGTATACATAGTGTTAAGGAAATTACTTGCTCCCTTAATACAGCTTGAGAGCACTTATCTACAGAAAGAGACCTATTTAAATCAACTGTGTATTTCCTATGAAATTACTCAAATTTTCACTTCATTTGAATTTAATCCTCTTGCTTTTGTTTTTTCACATTTGTTTTCTCTTGAACACATCACTGCTAATTCCTGCATTTAGTCTAGACACTAATTAAGTAAGCTTTGGATACTCATAGTCCTGTGTCCCTAAGTTAACACAAATAAATGCAGGACCATGTGAACACCTCAAATATACCTCATTAAGTGGGCCAAATTCATCGTATCAGGAGTTGACAGATGCTATAATAAATAGCAAGAAACAAATACAGTACACATATTGATTATAGACCTAGAAACTGTCATAACAAGTTAAAGTGGTTAACTGTGGAAAGGAGCACTAGGAATGAAGTATAGCACTCTACATTGTATCTTTACCATGTATATGTATTGCTTTTACAATTAAAAACCATTTTAAGATGAAGATTTACTAAGGATTATAGAGAAAAATAAATCTGGGTATTAATAGAAATATAGCCTATTTCAAAAGAAACTGGTCATGCCCCCCGCCAAACTAGGCAGAGTAAAAAAAAAAGCAAATAAAGCTTAAACCTGTATGTAAAGTACAGAATGGGCAAAAGTAGGTTTACAGTTGTGAGTACACAAAACGCAGAGTTTATTCTTGTATTATTTATTATTGTAATTATTTTCCATACCAACAACTGTAAATCCACTTTTGCCCCTCCCTGCATATGCTCAGGCTTCCAATACTCCATGCTATCAAATGCCTCATCACTCTAACACTGTTACTATGAAAAGTGAGGGGAAAATTATTGGGCTGGCCAATCACTTCTTGGCCTTTTGACTAAGATCAAGTATAGTATCTGTTCTTATCAGTTTAAAATTATTGGGTTGGCCAAAAAAGTTCATTTAGGTTTTTTTTAAGATGACTCTAGCAGCACTTAGTTGTCTAACTTCATTTGAAACAACGGTTAGATTGTATTGTGACAGCTGTCATATCAGCAAGCATTTTCAAAAAAATTTAAAATTGGTGGATTTCAGTGTACCCATTTTAATACTGAAAATGGAAGAAAATACACAACATTTTCAGCATATTATGCTTTAGCATTTCAAGGTAAAAATGCAACTAAAAGGCAAAAAAAAAAAAGATTTGTGCATTGTATGGAGAAAGTGCTGTGGCTGATTGAATGTGTCAGTAGTAGTTTGTAAAGTTCTGTTCTGGAGATTTCTCACTGGACAATGCTCCATGGTTGGTTAGACCAATTGAAGTTGATAGCAGTCAAATCGAGACATTAACTGAGAACAATCAACATTATACCACGTGGGAGATAGGTGACATAAAATAGCCACATCAATAGTTATTGGTAAAAATGAAAAATGTATCTTTTATTATATGGAAAAAATTAAAAATGGACTTTTTGGCCAACCCAATATTATTGATAGCTTGTTTCTTAAGGGTCCTCAAGTCCTCTATGAAAATTTCTATATTCTGTTTTCATTTTAATGTTAATTTGGAAACATGCATATTTTCCATCATTTCAGATGATCATATATATCAAGTACTATCACTTGATTTCAGAGACCATACTGGTACTAGTATTACTTTAAATATTTTGAGGACTAAAAACATAAGAAATCTAAATTGCAAATGATGGATAAAGGTCAAATGATATCCCAACATAATATAGAAAGGTTTTGTAACAAATAAAGAGAAGTGGTGGAAAAACTGGTACTTACAACATGACAAAACACTCTCAAAGAAACCAGTATTGTATTCATACTGATTGGTTGTTTGGCTTCAACAAAAATGTCACAATAAATTCATGTTATGAAGTAAATCTCATGAGCTCTATAGTTTTGTATTTAAAAATTTGTATTGGTTTTACTGTTGCAGTAACAAAGTGGGCCCCCAAAAGCCCAAAGAAGTCAATCATCTATGACAACCTTATAATTAAAAGACAGGCAGTGGGTTAATTTCAATATAATTATTCCATGCCTTCATTTGAAAAGAAAAAAAAGGGTAAAGTTGGGACACAACATTAACCACTTCACGGAGCCCTATATGGTGCTACATAGGCTTGCTAAGATTCTTAAAGTTATTTTTCCAATAAAAGTCTGGCTCTACAAAGTATGGCTCTACTAAAATCCCTTATGTTTTAAAGTCATCACAGATAGTATAAATTTTAAATAAATGAATTTTTCCATTAAAAATTTAACCATAGGAAAAAAACATAGAAAAATACCCCAGGAACAGAGATAATGTCCAATAGTTCAGAGGCCAGGTACTTATCCAGTTTTTTTCTTTCTCTTCCTCCTCCCTACAAATTCCTAATAATTTCAAGGCCCATCAGTGTCCCCACAAAGCAGTATTATCTTATTTTTCTGTGCATTAAACAACTTCTTTAAAAAGAATAACAAAAAAGGAAGGTTTAGCAAGAGAAAGCATAGCAACTGACTTAACTCTGGAAACTACGCTTTATTTATCCTTGTTTCTCTACCCCAGAACCACATAAAATAAGTGACCTGAAATGAACCAACCAACTACAGTTCACAATACACTTGAAATTAACATTGAAAAGAACCTGTTGCATACTTGGCCCAATACCACACGATTAGCAAGTAACCAAACACATTCCAAAATGACATCACTTTCCCCCCTGACAACTCTTCAATCCTCCTTCATACTTAATAGTATATTAAAGCAATTGAATTTAAACATGGGAGTAGAAATTTTTTAAATGCCATTTTTACTTAATGAGATAATATATTTAATTTGAAAACTTTACAACATACCAGACTCCAAACTCCATATGGAATAATTATCATTTATAATTTTTACTAAAATTCTTACTTGATTACTATCTGATTTTCTTAACTCCTAAACCAAATTATTTTGAATCTTAAGTCTGGAGTAGTGGGCCTTACACAGTAATTTTAAGAGAAAAAAAGGAGGTTACATGGATTAGAAAAATAATGTAAGAATTTGAAGCACGTCCACTTGTATTATATACATTTTTCTCTTTAACAATTCAGTGATTTTTCTAATATTCTAACTTTTTTTTTTTTTTTGCAAAAACAGGAAAGATCTGCTCTAGGTATAAGCAATCATCTTACCATTATCTTAGATGATATTAATTTCCCAATGGACAACTCATCTCAGTTTCTTATAGTCCTTGTCCTTCACATCCATTCCACTTCCAGGACCAATTCCCACAGCAACATTCTGGACCTTACCATCACTAGAACTATTCTAGCAGTTTGATTAAAATTAAACATCTTGACCATAATTTTTTACAGCATTCTTTCAACTACTCACACTATGTGGCTATTCTACAACCACCTTTGCCTGTTTTCTTTTCTGAAACAGGCAACAACTTTTGCCTGTTTTCTGTATTAGCACCCTCCAACTTTTATTTTTCTTCCCTAAACAGCATGGTCCATCACTTTAATCAATCTTTTAGCAATAACCAAAAATCCTTTGCCCTATTGTTCTCTATGAATACCTCCCTGACAAAACCACAACTTGGGAACAAATCCAGGATACCTAATCTATACTCACATTGCTCAGTGCTTACTGGAGAAAAATCCTAAAACCATAAATAATTTACATAAAAGAAAACACAGGGACAGGAAGCGCCACAATTGGCCCAAGGCTGCATGACCAGAAATGCTAACCTAAGGAATCTGCCTCCAGAATTCATGCTAATCATTTTTATTCTATACAGTCTCTCTACTTCAATACCCCACAGGTACCACAAACCAAACTGTCCATAACTGTACCCATCATTCCCCTCACAAAATTCCCCCTCCTTTATTTTTCTACAAATGCAACAGCACACCCAACCACTCAACTGCTCACACCAAAAACCTGAGTACCATCCTCGATTCTTTCTTCCACCTCTCCACGGATATCCAAGTTAATATTAATTTTACCTCCAAAATACCATTCGAATTTGACTTCTTTTCTTCACTTCTATCACAGGTTTGCACTTCTAATTTATAAAGTAGTGAAATAGCATCTTGCCTTCCTCCAAATTCATTCTCACGGGTGTTTTGAAAGACAGCTCTGGAGCTGTCTTCCCTCACCCATGGAGAGGGGGAAAAAAAAGGCAAATATGGCAAAACATTAACAAAAGGTGAATAAATATGTGAGAAAGGTATGGCCCTGAACAGTGTGGCTCAGCTGGCTGGATATGGTCCCACAACTCGAAGGTCAATGGTACCATTCCCAGTCAGGGCACGTGCCTGGGTTGCCTGTTCAGTCCCTGGTCAGGGCGTTTCTCACAACAATGCTTCTCTATCCCTTTCTCCCTCCCTTCTCCTCTAAAAAAAATAAATAAAATCTCTTTTAATAAGTATAATAATAGTGCAGTGTAATATTCTTTTCACTTCTCTGTAAGTTGAAGTTCTTTTCCAAAAATAACGTTTAACTTAAAAAAAATCCCCTACAATCTATTATGAATAAAGAGCCTTACACACTTTGCTTTAGACCTAACTTACTCTCTAGCATCATTTCTTATCCCACACCATTTACTCTAAAACCCAATGACATTAAGTTTTTCCACCTTTTCACATTATTTTCATCCCACAAACCACTTCCCCTCCGAAGAAAAGTTTTAGCTAGCTCCAAGTCTGGCTTGAGTATTCCTCTCCTCTGTTCCTACTGAGCCCTTTACTACCCTTATCATAACTTTAACCATGCGCACCGTAATCATTTCCTTTCCTGTCTCCCTCTCGTCTTCTTGAAGACAGGTACCACCCTGCACACCTACCTTGTTCACTGCACCATGCCTCGCACAGAGTAAGCACTGTTATTTATTTGCCTGTTTTGATGTTTCTGTAGCTTTTGCAAAGTTTTCTGTAATTTCTCCAGAGAATCTATCATCAAGCTCTTAAGGCATGATGCAATAGTACTTCTATTTCACTTTGATTCCTCATTCTTAATCAGTAAAATAGCTTTATTATTTCTTCCACTGAAATGTCTCCTTAGCCTTTTCCTTGTTCTTATTCTAGGTCACCTATGCCTACTCCAACTCTAGCGTGGTACAGTGACTTTGTGGGGTACAATTCCATCTGAACATATGATTCATGGTTAAAAACAGTAACCTACAGAATAAAAAAAATCAAGCCACTTTGGATCCAGATTTAAGAACCCATAACTCCCCCTCTGTAGTTTCCACTCGTATCTTCTATTATGTCCCCGTAAGAACCTTCTGCTCAATAGAAATTTAAGATATCCCTTATTTCATTCCAACTCTCTGATTTTACTCAATCCATTTTGTTACCTGAAACATATTCCCCACCATTTTAAAAATCCTCAATTCCCTTAAAAATATTTGTTTAAAATCTTTCCATCTTTTCAAAATTCTAAACTTAGAATCAAAATTTAGTATCAGAACCATTAGCAATTCATCAAATCTTTGCCTTGAGACAACAGCTTTCTTTAAAATCTTAAATATTCATGTGAATATTTTGTAACTAATAAATTATGATAAGCTTCTATCTTATCTGTAAGTGGGAGAGGAGAGCTTCTTTAAAGGCAAGGACTTCTTTGTTATTTGCCAGAGAACCAAAAACACTGCTTTGAACACAGCTAAGTATTCAATAATTATTTCAGCTAAGTATTCAATAATTATTGAAGAATTTCTATCCCATAAAGGTAGTTATCTGATTAAATAAAGATCATCTGGTTACATCAAACAGCAGAAAGGAAATAAAAAAATGGTTCTAGAAACAAGTTAGCTATCTCTGGGGAAAAAAAGAAAATCAAATTTAATTCTAGTCATTAGTGAACATTTTAAGGGGTCCTCTACATAAAAACAAGAATACTATTGAATTGTGTCTACTATTTGTATTTGACAATTTTTAGAAATCAAGTATGTTTTATCAAATAGATAATAATCCCGAGGACAAGCAAAAGAAAACTTGTGCTAAAATATTTTACTAACAAGAATGAAAAACAACCGTTACAGTAATAAAAAGGATATCAGCTTTAGCAAAGTCTCTTATCC